TGGTGATCTATGGCTATAATGCCCAACACCATGTTTGGTGAAAGTCAAGTACAGCATGTCAGCACACCACCTACTGTCAAGCACGGTGGTGGATAGGCCATGATTTGGCTTGTTTTTGCAGCCATGTCCTCATATTTACATGTTGGGTTTATGAAGTATAACACAATAAAGTCTCCTTTGTGTAATAAAATTGAGAATACTTTGAGCAGAATGAAGTATAAGGATGAAGAAAAGCCTTTTAAAAAATAATTATATGAGGATCTCAGAAGGTGAAACTATATTACACTTCTGGGCTATAAATACACTTTTTTTATTTTTTTATTTTTTTTTAAAAAGCTGTAGCACTAGATGTGATAGTAATCTAGATTAGTTAAGGTTGCTTTTCTTTTTTTTTCCACCATATGTATTTAAAGTGTTATAAGAAAAATGGTTCAGAGTGGTTTCATTTTACTTTTCAGTATCTAGATGTTTCTATCATTTTAATTCTAACAGCCTTTATTCACCATCATCTGACTTATAAATATAGCATGCATGCTGTTAGTTTGTTGAGCTTGTCTTGGTAAAGTCACTTGGGTAATTGTAGACTGTATACTCCCTGAGTGAATCAATAATTCAGAGACTTTCAAAAGTTCCTGCAGACGCTGGTGCTCAAACAGCAAGCTTTCACAGGTGAGACCAGGCTGGTGAGAATGTCCAAAAGAAGATGGGTGGAATTCAAAATCTGCCAGACGATAAGCTGTTCAGCCCCCGTCAGCCGAAGACACAGAGCATCTTCTCCCGCTGCTGCTGCTGCTGCTGCTGCTACTTCTGGTATGTTTCTGGAAGTATAAGGAAAAGTTTAATATTTTATAATTCTACAGGAATATTTTAGCCTGGATGTTAGAACAAGAAATCTTCGAGTGAAACTGAGGCAAAACGCTTAGGTAGGATATTTGTTTAAGACTGGACTGGCCTGCAAATAAAAAGGGAATAAATGTTGGTCCACCTGGACTTTAATCTCAGGGAAATTGAAATAATATGTAACAGTGTAATGAAATAATCAAAGAGTATGACATAATAATAATAAAACTGGCTAAAATTTGTTAGTCTTACATGTGCAGTTTGAGGCATGCCCTGAGGAAATATGGAGTTTAAGCAAACATGTAAGAAATAATCTCCAGATTTCTAAAATCCCAGCAAAGACCCCTACGAATTACTGCCCACATCTCCTATTAGCTCACTGGTGATCAAATAAAAACTTTAAAGAAGATGAGTTCATCTAACGATCAAGCCACAAAGTTTATATTATCGCTGACTTATTTGGGATAAAATGACAGGAAAGATAAAAGGCCTTTAGTTTGCCAAGAATACGCTACTTTAATTAAATATAAACTATTTTAAGACTGAAGATCAATCCCACATGGAGGCTGTGAGTAAAATATTGCCTGTCCATTTATT